CCAAAAGACTGAATGGTATCGCTGCCCCCTGCTGGTTGTTACATAGAATGCAGGTTTAAGACACTTCGGCGTGGCTTCAGTTTACAGACCGGGTAGCTCCGTCCGTTATTTATACTGTCAGTGATTTCATTACAACTGATAAAGGTAAAGGCAAACTGTAATTTTTTTAACTATTTTGTTACTTTGAGACAATTTTCTGTCACCTACACGTCACTGTTTGACTGGTAAACTGACTATTTTATTACAAAGATCAAAAAACAGATCTGGAAATGTTAAAATCTTGTAGCAAGTTTCAGAAACTTTAGTTCGCCACAGAATTTATATTTTCTGCAATAATCCAACAATCCTGTTGGCTTTTTGTTGAAGCAACCAAGACGATGATAACTTCTGTATTAGACTACAAAAATATGTCTAAATATGTGCAGCTCTCTGTTACATTATTATGTTTTATTTTTGCATTTTAACACATCAACTTTATCAACTGTGCTGCATTTAGAAACAAGCTGCTACATCCCTGCCAGTAAGGCTGGATTACTGGTTAATGTTAACATATTCAGCTGTTAAAACCTGAACCCGAGACCTGTCGGCCACCCACGCTGCTGCTGCTGCTGCAGGTTCAGCAGAGGCTCATTAGGCTCCGACGCTGTGAGGACAGGTCCTTCTGTCTGTGTGGCATCCATGTGGCTCTACCGGAGCAGATCACTGCTTTTCTGCCACTGTGGTCCACCACACGCTGCCTGGTGGCCTCAGACTGCACGCAGAGAGCGACACGCTGCTGCTCCCTCTGACCGAGACAACAGGACAAAGAGAGATCGGAAGGACCGGCTGAAGGTGACTTACACCGACCATCAGGTCTCTGGGTTGTTAGTTTGACATATCATATATATATATATATACAAGTCTAATTCCTCACTAGCAACATCTAGAGGCCTCAATGTTCATTACATCCAGCAATAATAAAGCCTCACTGATCCTTTCTGCAATTAGAAGCTTTAGTTTTTGTGTGGGTGACATGAGGACAAGACAAAAGTTTAGAAATCATCCTCTGAGAATAAATATCTACAGTAAATTGTAAATCTGACCAGTAGTTTTTAGATCAAGGTTGAAGAAAGCTTCATATAAAGTTCAAAATAAAACTTTTCTCAAAGTGTCTGAAACTCCATTTTCAGGTTTTAAACTTCTCACTAAACCATTTGATGTTTACTGCCACGTTTTGTTTGTACAAACAGATGAAACACCATAAAAGTTTTAGAAACTTAGAAACAAATGTGTTTTTAAGCCTAAAGAGGTCTTTAGGCTTCACTGCTAACAAGGAAAAAACTTTAGAAAACGTTTTGGTGATGTCGTTTGTGTTTTATTTATAGACTGTATGAATAACAGTGGACGTAGTCTCCGCGACGTCCCCGATTGGTTTGTGAGGAGCCGTTGTGAAGCTCGGTGTGGTCGGCTCTGGCTGAATGAAGCCTGGTTACTGAAAACAGCCGCCTGTGACCTGTCACTCAAAGCAGCCTTCTCTTAATTTTGCACAACTGTAAGCATGAATATAATTTAAACAGGTGAGTTGTACAAAAATTTGTTCCCCCACACAGTTGTCATGAACAGGGAAATTAACTCTAAAGGCTTTAAACATGTTGATTTCTGCTGTACAGTTGGACATTTTAATATTGGGCCTTATGGAGACTCACTGCTAGAGCCAGCATCTAGTGGACGTTAGAGGAACTGCAGTTGACGGTTGGTGTTGGCTTCAATGCCAAATCTAAAATCTTCATAGATGTAAAACAGCGACAGTAAACATTCAGAATCAAAGAGCAAGGATGTCTTTGTAGAACGGCCATTTTGAAATCAAGGTTTGGTTATTATACATAAATATTTTTTAGTTTGTTCATAATATTCACAGGATTTACGATTTATTAATGTTATAAAATACTGGATTCTGCAAGTGAACCTTCGTACACCTCCATAGATAAGTGAGTACAGGAACAAGAGCTAGGAGGGGAGCAGGGGATTATGGGTGGAGGATGCTGCCTGGCAGGTGAAGCTCAGCGTGGCTCGTTGGATGGCGAGCGACGAAGGAGGAGCGCCCTCCTCGACCTCAGGTTGCCAGCAGAGGACGGAAGCTGAGTGTGGACCCCAACCACCTCCTCCTCCTCCTCCTCCTCCTCCTCCTCATGCTGTGATGTGCTGTCCATTGATGTTTCTATTATTGGTTTTAATTTATTCATCTGATTATCTTGGCCAGTTGGAAGGACATGTTGTGTCTCCATGTGCAACTGCTGGCTTTGAGGAGAGCGACTGAAACTGCTGTTTGTATCATCTAACATGATATAATGTTGTCAGACTCTTAGATTAACAACCTGAACCTGTCAGTGGAAAAAAACAACAACTTTTAGTGGACGTGCATTGGATTAGCTAATGTTACATGGCAGTTTTGTTATTTTCTCATCTAACTCTGAATTAAGATTTATTTTGACCAAACCAGAGTTGGTGATTGTTGTTGGAACAGTGGACAAACTAACAAAAGACTGTTTGGTGAGTTTTATTTTGATAGTCAGTCCCTCCAGGAAGTTGCGATCACAGCAATTAAAGCAAATTCAACCACTCTGTGAATTCTGCACCAATTTTGTCCAATTACTGCAACCTTTGCTAAAATTCGACCAATCATTGTAGTTTCACCACTAAATGTATTTAAAAAAAACTCCGATCACAACATGCATTCTTAGAGAGGACGATGCTGTGAAATAAGGCATTTTAATCCAGAACAATCCCAAAACATGCCCCTGAAATCCTGGAGAGACTGGTTAATGGTGAGTTTGAATGTGAAGGTTGAGGTGTAAATGTGAGGTAAAATTAGTGTTTTTGTCAATAGAGTCTGGTGGACAGTAGTGTCACATCTGGTCTGCCAATTTTAACTGCTTTACATTGTTGTGTAGTTTAATCTATAAAACTGCAACGTATGTAATAAGCTCATCATATGTTTTGTGTGTAAAATAAAATGTTAAATTGTAAAGGAACTAGTAACTAAAGCTTTCAGCACAGCTGCCAGCGTATTAACATGTTGGCAAACAGCTGCTCACTTCCAAACCCAGCAGACGCACGATCATCCAATTGGAGTCATGTTTGTGTTCAGTAGTTGCTCTATTTCTAGCTCTGCTTTTGGTCTCCACCAGCTCCTGATGTTCCACTTTCTTCACCAGCTGGTCTACGGTGGGTTTACCAGAGCTTGAACCAGACAATGTGCCATAAAACGATAAATAGTGGAGCGTTACAGGCCGTTTGCACACCACGTTTGTATTTTTTGTCTGAAATTGTCACACATACCATTTTATTTATCATCATTTTAAGATTCATAAATTTGGAATGCAGTACACACAGCAGTATATTTATTACCTTTGATATGGAGGGAAACTGCTTTAGCTTTTTATGCTCCCCATTAGGTGGAATAAGCTTCAGCACTTAAATTAGACTGCTTCATCCCTGTGTAATGTATTTGTCTTTTTATCTCAATTGTCTTTTATGTTTTTCCTGATTAAATAAAGGTTTCTATCTATCTCGTATGCATTAGTTTCACTTTTCAGACCTGGAGGCTCTGTCCACTTATCATCCTTTCTATGATGTTTATATTATTATTAAATATCATATCCCAAAGCTTTATGTAATCCTGCTCCGTGTATCTCTTGAGGAATGAAGACATAAATTTAATCTGTGTCTGGATCCATAATGCCACATTTAAATTCAGGAATCCAGCTGATTATACAGAGCGACTCCCCGGCTCAAGGACACTCCACACGGCCTGTTGTGGACCTGTGACCTCTCAGTTTCAGACTGGCCACCCTGCATCTCTGTGTGCAGGGAGTGAAGTGTAGTCTGTGCTGGCCCACCTAGTCCAAACCACTTTAATAGGCTTACAGCAGCTAATCCAGGGTGGTGTGCTGTCACATGGGGAGTCCGCTGACCTTACTCTGCTTTATTACAGGGTGCTTGTTCCCCTCAGCCCGTGTCTGCTAACCAAAACAAGGCTTTTCTTTAGCGTCTAGTTTCTTCATGCCTCCGTGCATCAACCTCACACATATACACACAGATAGATTGTGGTTTACAGTTGTTTATGTGAGAGTTAAGGCCTTTGCAACAACAAATCAGGGTTTTTCATATGCGATCAGTCATCCACTTAAAATCGTGTAGCAAACACTGTAAAACCTGAAAAACTCATCTTGGTACAAGAAGAATAAATTAAACAAACTAGAGTCACTCTTTCACATGAAATGAACCCAACTCAAAAACTTATTGAAGCAACTCAGTTGTTTTGAGTACGATTAAATGTGTGCAGTATTTTAATCATTGATGATATAACTCCAGTTTGTTCCATTGAGTCATTTTCTTGAATGTCTTTACAAAAATGTAAGCCTAAATTTTTGTTTTTATGTCATTTTATTTATTATAAGCCCAAGAACGCATCCAAATAATTCTTAATGTGTGCAAGTTTTTAAAATACATCAGCTGCTTTAACAGGTAATGTAATAATTTGCTTTAGTGGAAGAAAGTAAAAAGAGAGTAAATTTAAACTCTGTGGTAACATTTGTATGAAGAAAATGAATTTAAGTTTGTTTATTCAGATAAATTCTGTTCACACATTTTAAATAAGTTTGGAGAATTTTTTCATAAGAGTTTAACTTTAATTAACTTAATGGAATCAGTACAATTAATTTACCCAAAGTTACCTTAACAATAAATACTCCATGAAACAGGAAGTTGTCAGAGTCCCGCCCTGAACACATCTACGGAAATCAACTTTAACGTAATGTCAGTACTGTCAGTTATCCTTTTTTGTTGTTGTGTTTGAAGAAATATATATATATATATTTTAAATTGAGGGCAATGGTACAATATTTACCCTTAGTTAATACCCTCTTTGTCTTCTGGTGGATTAAAGGGCAGAAAATGCAAGAAAATGCTGTTTAGTTGTGACTTTAATTCAACAGATTACAAACCGTGGACAGATCAGACAAAACAGAAAGTAAACTGAATGAAAACAAATTTTAATGAATAGAGTTCAGAAACTGCGTCCACCATCTCGTCACATCTTCCCGTCCTCTTTTGGCTCCATGTAGCCGTCCGGCGGCAGCAGCGGGCTGAAGCGCAGCAGCGGCAGGTCCACGGACGGGCAGCGCTCCTTCACCTGGGGCCAGCTCTCCCTGAAGCCCCGGGCAGGCGGGGGTGGAGGGGGCAGGTCAGAGTCATCATGATGGTGGCGGTGGTGGTTGTTGTTGGGGTCAGCGGGAGAGATGCTACTGCCACTGTGGCATTGAACCAGGAACGCCCCCCGGTGGTGGCGGTGGTACAGCATGCCGGCCACCGCCAGCAGCATCAGGATGAGGGAGCTGAGCAGGAAGAAAAGCACGTAGACGCCTTTAGTCTCAGCGGACAGGCCTGAGCTGCAACCTGCAGGCAAACGACAGGAAGTCACCAGCCGGACTCTGTTTACCTCGAATGAAGCAGTATGGCTGAGAGTTCAAACCATCTTCAGTCAGAGAATGTGGTCCTTCTATATATCATTGTTAGGCAGTTCAGTCTACACCTGGAGCCAGATGCATAAAATACGCAGTTAAAATCTCTTGTAGGTCTGTTCCCACGTGAAGAAGAAGGTAACAGAGGCAGGGAACGCCTAAAACTACAGATTACAGAATAAAGCTCTACATAAAGTGTCCAAAGTCACACTTTTATTCCCTTTTGTGCCAACAACACACTATAAGACTCAAAGGACTTTGTGGATTACGCATGGTGTGAAAGATTTGTACGAGTATGCACAGTCTCACCGCCTGTGGGTTTTATACATTTGGAAACGTGTGTGGAAGGTGCTGTAAATACACTTTACATGTGTAGGCAGAGTATATATATATACACACACACACACACACACACACACACACACACACACACACACACACACACACACACACACACACACACACACACACACACACACACACACACACACACACACACACACACACACACACACACACACACACACATCTGCTCTATGATTTGCTCTATAACAAATAAAACTGAATTGAACCTGCAGCCTTTATATCCACACAGACGGTTCCTCCTGATCCCAGGCGGGACGCGTCCTGGAAGTCCGGCCTGCAGCGGCACGAATACGAACCAAAGTGGTTCACACATTCCGCGTTAACGTCACACAGCACCATCTGCGTCCCACACTCGTTTACATCTGAAACGCACACATAGGAAGAGAAAGATGACACCTGATAACAGTGTTTTTTTTACAGTTTAGTTGGTTTACTGGGATCATGTTTTAACCTCCTCTGAGGAGGGGGGGGGGGGGGCAGGTATACTGTACCTGCCGTTGACAGGGACATGATAACAGCCTTCCCGTGCTTTCCTCTGACGGCGACATCAGTGCCGATGAAGCCCTGCAGGACAGAGTGGACGACCTCGTGGACCTGCAGACCTCCAGGCCCCTGTCCGATCTGCAGCCAGAGGATGTACAGCACTCCTGCGCTCAATCTATACACACACACACACACACACACACACACACACACACACACACACACAAAACTGTCATGGTAATACTTAAAGAAAGAAACATTTGTTTATTCCTCGGTTCTCTTCAATAAGAGGATGCAAGTGAAGGAAACAAGGATGCAATCAAGAGACTAGTGAGAAGAGTCTGACATCAATTTGTTTTAGTGGACTTCATTGTACACAAAGGAACAATGAAGGAAATAGTGCAAATATAAACAAATATATAAAAAAGGTGCAAAGCAAATGTACAAATGTACCAACCTCTTTATTCTTTTAGAAGAGACAGACAGCGGCGTGTGTAGAGCTTCCAGCTTTTCACTGATCTACAGAAACACAACACTGCATCTTCAGCTTACAACAGGTGTGTTTCCGTCCAAATGTATCACAAGTTTAATCAAATTTTGAGAAAATCAGCAAAAGAAAATGAGAATTAATGCTTGTTTCCATCCACTAGAGTCAGTTCATCAAGATAAGCAGGAGGTAGCACCAAGTCATGCTTTAAACACGGCTAGTGATGCTGTTTTACTACATGCAACACGTAGCACCTTTACCGTCTCTGTTTTGTTTTCATCAACGTACCGAATGTTTTACTGACAGCAGCAGCGACTTGGCCAGGTTGTCCCACAGCTCCTCCAAATCAAGACTGAAGTTCACTTCAACGGCCACTTCAAACAGGTGACCTGTCAGGGACCAAAATCCTGACTGTGATCACCAAAACAGTACACTCATAATAATCAATAACATTTAATTTACTATATATATATATATATATATATATATATATATATATATATATATATATATATATATATATATATATATATATATATATATATATATATCACATTAAAACATTAAATATCCCCTCCAGAAATTACATACTGGACCAGGATTTCTGTGTCAACATTCATGTGAACATTATCAACACTCACCGCCAGGAAGGTGTGGAATTTCAGAGTGATTCCTAATGTTCACTACAAGAGAGAAACAAAGTCAAACAGATTGAAGAAACAGAATATAAAATATAAATGTACCAAGGTTGATCATCTTGAGTTGTTTCCCACAAACATGAAACCAGTTTTTGAACTGTAACTCAGCGATTGTCGCTAGAGGTTGTTTGTGCTCAAAGTACAGTAGGAACTTTATAACTAGAACGTATATATTTGCTTAAATTCTATCAATTATATCCTGACAGTGGTACATTAGACCAGTATTTCCAAACCTGGGGGGGGGTCACCAAAGCTCAATTTTTTGAAAACTAAATGAAAACATACACAGTAGGCTATATCTCGGTATTTCTGTGAAGAAAGGTAAATGTAAAGTGAAGTAAATTGTTAATTGTCTAATAGAACAATGACCAAGTGCAGAGACAAGAAAACACTGAATCTGTTAAAACAAAATAGAAATGCAGATCAAGTCTGTATGATTGTTAAAGATGATAACAAAACATAATACAGACAGAGAATTGTATAAAAAGTTCCCCAAACAGGAAATAATCTGTTCAGTATTCATCCAAATCTTTGGTTTTACACAAACTTCCTACAATTACTGAGCTCACTGTTCATTGTACAGTTTTGAATATAATATGAAATCCATAAAATATCAATAGCAGTCAAATGTACTCACTGTTCACTTTGTGGTCTGACAGCGGCTCCACCATGTTGGGTTGAGGATGAGTCTGCTCAGTCTCCTTTGGTTCTGGGCCTTCAGAGTGCGAAGGAAGCCGGTCTGAGGCCTCGCTGACCTCCGTCCGGTTCCCGCCATCAGCAGACTTCTCCTCCTCGGACACACTGCTCCACACTTCCTCCACGTCCCTTCGTATTGCTGTCGGGGAGCGAGCATTGGGTTTGATCTCATCAATGATGTGATGCAGCTGCTGTGGAGACGCAGGGTGGACTGATGGGTCGGTCGGGTCTGGAGGGGTTTGAGTGGCACCTCTTCCCGATCGAGAGGTCCCCTGTGTGGATGCTGGCACTGTGGCTGTGAACAGGTAGACGTGGCTGCGGTTCTCCGTGGCCGGACGGTGGTTTTCACCCACCTGAGTGAAGTAAAGGGTGGAAGAACCTCAGAATACTTCCTGGTATGTATTAGTAAAGAACAAAGTGCAGATTAATACTGTAACAAAAGATAAAAAAAATACACTGGATGAGTTTTTTGATTTATTTATGATTTATTTCAGATTAAACTCAATAATGCAAAAATTCAGGTGAAAATCAGTCCTAAAAATCCAATTTGCTGCAATCTTATATAGATTCACACTATTTCCCCCCCATTTACTCTAATCTACAGGATTATCAGAGGCTCTTTCTGTCTTTTTATTAGTGGACTGTATAGTTAGTATATCTGTTCTCTTCACCACTAGGGGGCAGCAAATATTGTAAAAAGTCTTGCAGCAGCAGACATGCAAGTTTTAAATCAGGAGGAACATGAATACCTGCATTAAAGAGACTGTGTGCAACTTTTGACAGAAATAACACTCTTTGAATTTGAATTCATAATTAATTCATAATAGCATTTATCATGATCATGTAATTGTAATGTTTTTGGGAGAAGACAGGAAATGATGGGGAGTGTGCAATAAAAAGGTCCCCAGCTGGATTCGAATCGGTAAAATTGGGGTTCATTTTAGTCCACACACAACTCTGCAGCTCTACAGAGCTTTTAAGCCTCTTTTAAGTCATTATTTTGATTTTACGGCACAGTTACTGTCTGGTTTAATCTCACAGTTCTTATCAACTGTGTTTCCAGCAAATGAGGTTGAAGAGCGAGCAGAGAGTGAAGTTAGGGGGCTGTAAATCCAAAACAATGAGCTGAAAGATCCTAAAAAGGTAAGTTGGTAGCATTGAGGCATTAGCTAGAGTTGGGGGTTTGATTCCCACTCACCTCAGTGTCTGTGTCCTCTTTGGGCAAATCCACCGTCATGGCTGAAGGTTGATCATAATAATCATACATGAGATCAGAATTTGCTGGTGACAGATGTCGCTGTAAATCTGACTCCAACTGTTCACCATTCATCACAAATTCATTCAAGTCCACAAGTCCAAGAGATGGTTCTGAGTTCCTGTTTCTCTCTGTGAATCCTTCCTGTGGGTTGTAAACCACCGGTGGTCCGAACGCCTGGTATCGGCCATAGAAGCCCCTGTAGGTCGAGCTGGGCCTGCCGCCGATCAGCAGCACCACATACAGAGTGTTGGAGGAGGAGGTGTACTTCGCCTCCCGCCAGCACTTTTCCAGGACCTTGTGACCCCTAAAGTGTCCGACGGGCTCGTCCACGTGGATCTGGTCCTGTTTGAGGTGGCAGGCGTCATCGGGGGTCAGGTCCTCCAGGTGGAGTTGGACCCTATTTCTGGGATCCACCTGGATGGTCCAGTTGCACCACAGAGGCGGGTTGGAGCAAAGGTAGTCCGGGGAGAAGAACTCCCCGGTGTCGGCGTGCAGCAGCTGGTGGCAGCTCCGCAGGGCGAAGAACGCACCGTCGCCTCCTCCGTGTCCATCTGAGGAAGAGATGAACATACCAGTGGTTCTGCAGCTTGTATGTATTCAGCATTACTGACAACCATTTCCCAAATGTTAGAGTTGTGAATTTACTGCAATTATTAGCATTAAATTAAACTTACAACAATATATTTCACAGTGTACCTTGTCTTTGGCTCTCAGGTCCAAGACCAGTGGTTTCTAATGAAGATGTCATTATTTAAAGGCTCATTAATTTCCTCTAACAGCTGGTCATTGCAGGAAATTGGTGGGGACTATTTTCAGAGGCAGATTAATCCACATTTGGTGCTCCAGTGAGTATTTGGGGCAGCAGGACGGTGTATGTGGGACTGAGTCAAAATAAACTACAGTGTGTTCGTGGAGGGGAGACTCACAAAACAGTGAAAAAGACAAAGTATGGAGACACAGTGTTATATATAAGCTACATAGTTACATCATACAACATAATTAAACACATCAGACAGTAGAAACCTGTTAACTTTTATCTGATTTGTTTAATTAGAACAACAGTGAAATCACATAAGCTGATATTGCAATAGATCACCTGTCTTTTACTTATCAATAACACTTAACACAAGAGTTAATGTGGCCAAATATAGCTCTCCTATATCAGTTTTAATACTAAGATTGATGGTTAACATCATAGATTTAGATAAAGGTTGAGGGTCACTTTAACTGATGCTTTTCTAAAAATAGAATCTATTTTTTAATTAACATTGTCAGTGTAGACTGTTTATAGAGTGTGTTCAGAGTCTCACCTGGAGGGTTGTTGGCTTCCTCTCTGTTCACCTACAAACACACGGAAGCAACAACCAGAATTATATTTCACCAAATAAAACCAAAACCAGCTGATGTCACAGGGAGGATGACGGCTTACCTGCGAGTCACTGTGTTTCCAAAATATACCAAATATCAGCAGAAATATGAGCAGCACACTAAAGCTGTTCCTTCGGGGCATTTTACTTCCACAACGTACTGAAACATGTGAAAAGGCGCACAGCTTCAGTTAAACTGCTGTTTTCCTTTCCTGTCTGAGCAGCTGAAACTCATCAATTAGCTGATTGTGTTTCCTTTTGCTGGATGTGGATGTCAGGGTTTGTCCACCAGAGGTCCCTGTTGTATTTTATATTTACTCTTTTCATTCTAGTCTTCAGGTAAACGCTTCAAGTTCACCACAGCAGCAGCAGAAAATACACTTTTATTTTTACACAAATGACATAAAACTATATTTGTTCTTCCATTTGTTGCAGAAATAGGAAATGATCTATATATATATTATCAATATATATAGGACTATACATAAGATAAAGATATTTAAAAAAGCATTATATTACACTTTATCCAGCACAGCTAAACTAAAACAATTGATTTTGATTGATGTTGAATTGATAAAGAAAAGGAAAAAAATATTACTTTGTGTAAAGTGTTGAGGAAGAATTTAACATTAATAATAATGAAACTACTACTTCTAATACTAATAATGATACAAATAATGATAATTATGATGACGATATTAATAAGAAGAATGATGTTAATATTCATGATAATAATAATAATAATACTACTACTACTAATAATAATAATAATCTAAACATTCAAGCTAAACTCCATTTATTGTTTACAATAAATTATACAAATATGATGAAAGTTCAGTAACAGCAGCAACATCACAGCTGGGACGTTAAAACATCACTAATTGAGTAAAATGTGTTTTTGTGTGAACAGAAGTTCTTCACAGAAACAGTGTGTGTCCTGATGTATTAAGACATGTATGCAAACAGTCTGTGTGGAACAATAATGTGTGTCTGATATGTTTTTACTGCAATTAAAAAATATAATTTACACATTAAAATCCTTAAAAAGTGAATTCTACATCATTTAAAATTACAGTCAGTCTGAAGATGCAAATCTTGTTGATTTCTAAAGTTTTCACTGTAAAGTCCATTCTCAGTGTGTGGGCACTGGTGGATCACACTGTATAAGCTGCAGCAGTATTACAGCTGGTTAGGAACATTGCTGTAGAAGTGACCAAGAGCTTCGGTTCACAGATGTCATAAAGATCTTGACTACAGATGAGCTGCCAGTAAGAAGGAACAACCTTCCAACCTGCATGTGCAAAAGGCAAAGATTCAGTCTGACTCGAGTCCACACATACAAAGTAGTTAAAGTAAGTCTATCTCATGAGGTAAAATAGCTTTTAGTTAGTATCAACATCAACGTTTTAATGGATTTCGGATCCAAACCGCTGCTCATAAGAGTTTTGGCCTGAAAAGGCAAATCTCATTGGTTATCCTCACCTTTCTCAAGTCTGTAATAAAAAGTAAACAACTTATGCATTATGAAGACAAATCCAAGAAAATACTGCACACAGCTCAAGATTTGCTGAAGTCTGGTGTCTTCCCAGCTTCTATACTCATGGTTAGTCTCTCTTGGCTTATTGGCTGCCAAGGACCCAGGCCACACCCATTCCCCTGGCCATTCCCACATTACCACGTCCTCTTTTCAGTCTGGTTTCTAGTAGCAGGGCCGGCTCTAGGCATAGGCGATATAGGCGGTCGCCTAGAGCGCCATCTGCTGGAGAGAAAAACAAAACAAAAAACAATAATCATTTTCGATGCCCATTGGCCTCCCTTCGTGTTCTGTCTTGAAAATAATAAATATTAACAAAGTAAAGAAACAGATAAACAGTGACACGTTTCTCACTTGTGGTGCTGAGTCACGTGACGTGTGGTCATTGGCTGCGCACCTCAGAGGGTAAGACAGGTGTCACAGAGGTCACGTCAAGTGACAGACAGGTTATGTTTTGATATATCTTGCCAGGTGCGCAGTACCGAAAGAGAAGAAAAGAAGAGGAGGAGAAGAAGTCCCAAAGTAAAGGTAACATTATGTCATCTTCTTTTAAATGTCGTTTTGTGTGAAGGTGTTTCATTTGTATTAGCCTGCTAGCTAGGTTGAAATAAAGCAATGCTAGCTTAACACCAGAACGGCCATGATGGTCATTTTGGTCATTTTGACCGTTTTCAAATTTATATGTGCAATAACTTTGTTGAATGACAAAATGCAATACTGCTGTTACCTGACTTTTCCTAAAAGTGTCTGTATTTTAATTTAATAGTTTTTATATAAATTACACAAATTTGGCCCTGAGGATTGCTGTCACCATTCCAGTGACAGTTGCTGCTCCAAATTGAAGCTCATCAAAACATACCTGAGATCCACCATGTCTCAGGAGCGTTTGAATGGACTTGCACTGATGAGCATAAACCGCGAGGTGTCTAGGCAGGTGTCATTTAATGACACAATAGATGCGTCTGCTGCAAGGAAGTCCAGGCGTGTAGAATTTACTTGAAATTAGTTGAAACATCAACAACAACATTCAAATAAAACAGTTGTGAGTGTTCAGATGATTCAGATGTTGTCATTGAATTGCATGATGGTGTTCTTTTTTTTTTTTTTTTGGGGGGGGGTAATCTCGCCTAGGGCGCCAAATGGGCTAGAGCCGGCCCTGTCTAGTAGAACAGTGGTTAAGCATCAGGGAAATATAAAATATACATAATATAGAAATAGTACAATAAAAAGTTCCCTAAATAGAAAATAATCTGCTCAGAATTCATCAAAATCACTCATTTTACACAAACTTCCTGCTGTTACTGAGTTCACTGTTTGGATTAATTGTACAGTTTTTAATATAATATTAATTATCTATAAAATATGTCACTTATTCAGTTATGTTTGTATCTCTAAAAAGTCAGAAAAACAGCCTCAGGGTTCCCAAAAAATCAGTTTCCAGGACTTTTCCAGGACTTGACAATACAGGACAGCAGTATGCCGGCGCATAATGCGGCCGCGGCACTCCCCGACGTACACGGACTGCAGCTTTAACTGAAGTTGAATCCAATGGTACCAAGTATTTGATATAACTCCTTATAGTTTTTGAGATTCAGCCATTTCTGTATTGAGTCGTTAGTCACGAGGGGTTAAGCAACATCTGTACGAAATAAACAAAATCCTTCATTGTAAAAAAGAAACAAAATCCTGTGGCCCCTAAGGGACACGGGGTAGAAAAAAATACTTTTGTATAGAGAAGTATTTGTTTGAAAAACAACTTCTGGAAGCAGCAAACCAAAGCAATGGAGAGGCTCACAGCTGAGACATTACGCCAGTGCTTGGTTCTAGTCATGGTATTCAAATCAGTGAAAGACAGCCGAAGAGGACTGTTGGTGAAAGGGAGATATTCTCGGTGGAAAAAGTACTCGAACTCGACTGAGTCCAAGGTCAGAATTAATCATCATAACTAATAAATAAAAGCCAAATAATAAACATAAATCAGTATAAATCAGTGGTGCTGCTATCAGAGAGAAAGTTGATGATGAGGATGAGGGGCGGAGCAGTCGGAGGACGTCAGAGGGAAAACCAGAAAACATTTTCTCCATAAAATATGATCCAGTTTCACCATAAATCAGTCACATAGTTGGTGGTGTGTGCCTTAGTGCCGTAAAGCGTTACACACTCGTCCCGACCCGCAGACCAAAGTTCCACAGTGCAAGAACAGGAGTACAGAGGAAGCATCACCCTGTTACAGTCAGTGTAACATCAGCATGATTCTGAAGCTGATTGTGAGGAGGAAAAGTTACATAATGGGCTTTAAGTCAATAATAATAATAATAATAATAATAATAATAATAATGACGCTGTATTATTATCAGGCACTTGTGTTAAAGACTCTAACTGTGTCTGTTTTATAACTACTGTGACAGAGTCAATCAGATATACTCCAGTAAAGCTCCACCTCTTCCTGTACGCAGACAGACACTGAGGACAGCACATGTGAGACATCAGAGCAGACAGCAGACGGACGGGCAGAGAGACGCTCTACCTGGACGTGGATCACCTGTTGGTGCTGTTGCTGTTGCTGTGGAGCTCAGGTAGGACTCTGCTTTAAAGATGGTGAAATATTTGTGCTCTCTCTCTCTCTCTCACCACACACACACACACACACACACACACACACACACACACATCATATCAATGCAAAGGAAGACAAAAAGGGAAACACTGTAAGATCGTACACAGTAAAGTTTCGATTCTTCACATTTTCATCAAATCAAAGACAGGTTTTATTTCTATTTTTAGTCAGTTATTATTTTTTCTGCAACATCCAATCAATGTGTTTATATTCAGTCATTATCTCTCTGTGCAGTACTTTTCACTGTTCGGGGCCGAGTCCTCCACTGACTCAGACTCATGACAGGATGACAGGAATCGATCCATCATGTAATTAGATTCACAGTTTCCTGTTCACTCTGCTGCATTCAGTTACTGCTAACTGCTAATGCTAACACATTTCCTGCTGCTGCTCCTTCACAATAAAACACTTCAACTGGACAAACTAAAGGGTGCTTTTATTGTGAAGCAGTCACAGGAAGCACTATGTATTTGTCAGTGACATTTTAAATACAGGGCTTTTACTAGTAACAGAGTATTTGTACACTGTGGTATTAGTACTTTTACTGCAGTAAAAGATGTGAGTACTTCTTCCATCACTGCTCAACAGGAGAAAACTGATAAAGTGCAACAACTTAATGTTTCCTCAGAGTCACTTTTCCTCAGGTTTTCCTCTAATCGAAGCTTTCTGACTCTGCAGGGGTCAAAGGTCAACTTCACTAAATCATCATAACTAATAAATAAAAGCCAAATATTCGGACGGACAAGCAAACTGCTCACATGTGATCTGGATCACCATAGCAACACACAGGAAGAGTGACGGCTCATTCTGCTCAGAAAGACCATAGATATTGATCTGCTGATTGGCAGCCAGATAGAGCGATCGGTTCCTGTACGCAGTTAAACAGTGGGTGGGACTATTAGCCTACATACAGAAAATAACATTAATAGAATTATAATCATGATGGTATTTTTTAAATAATGTTTTACCAATCATAGAGACTTAATAGGCTTCTTTCTTTGACAGATTGAGTGTTTTCTTGTCTCT